CATGGTATTTGTCATCCATGCATCTATTCATATCTCCAGGACATTCTCTGCTCCCCAGTTGTAGAATCACCTACACAGGGTGCTGGCACAGTTAGTTAGACCAGGCTTCTTGGAATCGGGTTGGGGGGGACTCTAAATGATTATGTGCAGTAGCAGCAAATGAACTCACTCTTGCTTCCTCAAGTTTTGCCAATTGTAAAGAAACCTGTGCTTTGAAAGAAGGAATGTTTTGCTGCCTTTGGTCGCTCCCGCTGGTGTGGGGCTAGTGGCGTAGAACTGCCTTGCGGTCCTGTGCATGGGAAACCGAAAATGGAGTTTCTCACCCATCGTTTCCAGCGTCAGGGTTGCGAGTGGTCGGTGCTCAGCAAATAACTGGTTATCAGCGTATAAGAAGCCTACAGATGGAGGCAGGGGAAATGGAGAAAGAATTAGTTAGCAAAAGGATGCTGAGACATAAATAAAGTGTTCCTATGTGGAGGTTCAGTGGCACCGTCAGGGGGTGACAGAGAGTGTGTACCTGGAGAGATGGGGAGGTGCGTGCTTGCAGATGAAAATCCTGTCTGGAGCCTCTTGCCAAGCCCTGTCCCCAAGCACAGGATGAGCTCTGGCACGGCTCCGAGGTGCTTGATTCATGGCCCATTTCCATCTCTCTGGGGAAAGCGGCATGTGAACCGCGTGTTGGAGCCTGCCTCCCGTGACGGCATGATTTATATTCCCCAGAGCAGGCAGGAGCTGGGCTCCTCCCGGGGTCCCTGGAGCAGGTGCTGGCTGTGTCTGGACTGCTCCCTCTCAGCTCTTGCCAGGACACAGACCTCCCTGTCCCGCACTTAGGCCAGCTCTTTCTGACTTTGACCTTTTGCCCTCACTGTTCTCCATCACCACGATGATCTGAACCTCAACCTTGCATCAAACTTCAGGCGGGGGACTGGAGCAGGGTCCAGCCAGGACTCTGGCTGATGGACAAGTGCCAAGTCAGGGCCCTGGAACAAGAACAGAGTCCTCTGCCACCCTCCAGGGTGCAGGAGGAAAGGGCCAGGGAAGGAAGTTGGAGCCAGAATCCTTAGGCCCAGAGAGCCACGAGGGAAGGGGAACTAGAGTGTGGCAGTCTAGAGGGCAGTACAGGTAGGCAGGACCGAGGGTCCAGACCTGGGTGGACAGGACTGGACTGTGAGCAGAATGCAGAGAAAAGAGAGCCAGGATCTTAGCGGTTGGCAGCTCCCCAGCTGGCCAGCGCTGGGCAGTGGAAGGTCAGGAGAGTGCTCCTATCCACTCCCCCTGCCTTGCCACCGCTCACACCCCTCTTTCCCTCAAGGTATCCTCCCTGCTGAGCTGTGACCACCAGTATTGTCTGCAAAGCCAGTGCTGCTCTCTTGTTTCTTCTCTGTTTCAGATCATGGCCATCAGAACAGTGGCCAAAATCAGGCCATGAGTCTAAGTGCTCCAGGGTCACTTTCTGCACAACCACTGTTTGTTTATTCATTCATATTCTCATACTCGTTCCCTCTTCACTTTCTTTCTTTTTCTCTCTCCCCCATCTGGCACCAATTGTTCATTCAAAATATATATATATATATACACATACATATGCCACTGTGTAATAATTTCCTTTTTGTGCTGCAGAGATTAGCATGCCTGTCTAGCAGCTTCTCTGAGCTTCCCAAGGTCAGAGGCTTTCTTCATTGGAAGTCATTGCAGCCCCAGCTAAGGACCTGGCACATACTGATTGCACAATAAATGTTTTTGAGGGTTGGTCTGCCTCATGGCCAGATGAATACATGAGTGGCACCAAAGTTTATCTTACTTTTCTAATTCCCTCCTAAGATTTGGTAATAGCTGGATTTATTTTATTTTTTAAATTAACACTCAGTATGTATCAGTCAATATCAAAGCAGGAATAAGAAACCACACAGTAATTTCAACAGAGAGAGTTTAAGATAAAGAGTTGTTAACTATACTAGATACTGGAGTAGAAGGGATCGGCTAGTACGAAGCAAAGAGAACTCTAAAGAATACCAGTCACACTAGCTAGTAAGCGCCTTGAAGGTAGAGGTAAATGTGACTATCGTCTGTTTAGCCCCGATGGTTCTTCCACGTGGGTCCCGCTCAGTTACCACGTTGAAGCTGAGTGAGTTGAATCAGGGCCTTTGGTGACCAGACTAGGTACGATGTGCCATTGCTAGAAAGTCCTCCTGAGAAACGGGGGCAGGGAGTGATTGTGCTATGTGAGCTAGCAAGGCGTTTGGGACCCCTGCTACATAGATGAGGCTTGTTTTGAAAATGGGAGGTTCCCTTATCTGTGACATCACCTGTTTGTTTTTTCCCTTCAGTGTTAATACTTTGAAGGGTCAGGAAATAGGAAACAACCCCATTAAGCAGGAGATGCTGAGGGCTCCGGGTGCAGCTGACAGCAGGAGTGGAACTGCAAGATAATGGGGCTGATACCGGCCCCAGCCAATCCTTCTCCCCTTTGCAAAGCGATGAATGACAAGCAGATTTCTCAGCTCCAATCAGGCAGTCTCATTCAGATGATGAATGTGTCCCCAGAGGGGGGAGCTTGTTGAGTGATATTTACCAGGGTCTCTGTGAAGGGGCCTCAGTTCCCAAGGGAGCATTTCGAGCCTCTGCCTGCTCGCCTGTTCAGCTGACATCCATGGGGTGGTGAGTGGAATAAAAGCTCTCCAGCATGATGGAAGCCCTGGTGATTTGTTTAGATGCTAGAAGTTTCTTGGTTTCTCTTGCTTCCTGTATTCAGCCCCTCTCTCTCCCGCAGAGAGAAGTCTCTGGATTCTGTGAGAAGCTTAGAGCCTTAAAAGAGGGGAGGTGGGAGCTCAGCGAAGGCCACAGACCCGAGCTGGGCTCAGACCCGGCTCTGCCACCTACTGCTCCTGGGCCAAGTTCCCTGGCTTCTCCAAACTTCCATCTCCTCAGGTGTGATATGGTGACAAGACAAGCTACCTCACAGGGTTGTCACAGAGATAAAATTAAATCTGTATAAAAACACTTTGCACATTATAGAATGCTCTCTCCAGCGTAAGTCAGTCATTCATTTAGCAAATCGCAGCACATGCCAGGCACTGTGCTATTAGAGGAGCCAGTCCCAGCCGGTGCAGCTGGAAAGGAGGAGCAGGCTGGTAGCCAGGACCTTGCCAGCCGCCAGCGTGGCGCTGGGATACTCCCCAGGTGTCTTTGTGTTCTGCAGAGAAACAGAACCAGTAGAAGACAGACGCACACACATAAATAGAATATATTCATATATGCCAAAGACACATAAATAGGATGCGTTTGCATATATTTATTTGTATAGAGGATAAAAGAGGTTGACTGTGAGGAGTTGGCTCACGCAGTTGTGGAGGCCGAGAAGTCCCAGGATCGGCAGCAGCTAGCTGGGGCCGACGAGAGCCAGTGGTGTCAGTTCGAGTTCAAGTCCAAGTCTGAAGGCAGAGGACCGGTGCCCCAGCTTGAAGACAGGACAGAGAATTAATTCTCTCTTACTCTGCCTTTTTGTTCTGTTCAGGCCTCCAGCGGCTTGGTGGCCGCAGCGACTTCCCCTGGGGGAGGGAGGCGTCTGCTTCCCCCGGCAGTCCACCAGCTCCGGTGTCAGTCTCGCCCAGCAGCCCTCACAAACACTCCCAGAATAATGTTCAGCTAAATATCTGGGCACCCCGCAGGCCAATCAAGTTGACCTAAAATGACCCGCCACGCCGGGGTTGGTGTTCACTTAGAGCACTCAGATTTCTGTGGCAGCTTTACACGCTGTGTCTCATGAACGACCCAGTGAGGAGCTTATTACCCTTCTCTGTGGCGGGCATCACCAGCCTGGCCATTTGCAGTGGGCCACGTCTGCCTTAAACCCAAATCTCCACGCACCAGGACCCCGCCTCTGCAATGACAGGAAGCCTGCTCTCTCCCGAGTCCCTCTCACCCGGCACGTGAGAGACTGCGGCCAGTCTTCCGGCCCAGTGCCCTGGCGCCCTCCACTTGTCCTCCTGGGTCCGCAGTCAGCAGGCGGTTTGAAAGAATTGTCCCAGGAGCTTAGAGTTACCTGTGGACCAGACATCGCTCAGCATCTCACCACGTCCCAGCGAGGTCCTGACGCCAGAGGAAGATGAGGGCTCAATGTAGACATGTGCCTTTGCCGGCCTCGGCCGCTTGTGAGGCATGGTTCGGGGGGCGGCGACACGGACATGTTGGCCCTCGCGTGCTGTCTGTGTCTCCTCAGGGCACAGGGCGTGGCTTAAAATAAGCCTTTTGTCATCGTAGCCCTGCCAATGAATCAGAGCACTTTGGGGTATTTCTGTTTACTTAAAACCCCTTGTGAGATGTTCTAGTAACGTCTGTCATAGGGGAAATATGAATTTATTAATTCAAAGATGGTTACTGCTCATGCTGAGCTTGGAAAATGGGCCAAATCAACAGCGTTTCTCAAGTTCACCCTTCAGACCACGCCCGCTCTGCCTGGCACCGCAGCCTCGGGGAGCAGGTCGGTCTCCTCGCCCGCAGAGCACCTTTGTAGCTGCGTGGCCGCATGCTGAGGACGGTACCTGGCACAGTTTAGGGGCCTAGCCACTGTTTCTGAAGTGGACTGAACTTGCTCTGGGAGGACTGTCACAGCTGCACTCACCTCAGCTGTGTTCTGGGAAGAGTGCCTGCTGGCACGTTGCTGCGTGTGCGCGTGCGTGTGCACGTGTGTGCGTTTGTGTGCACGTGTGTGTGCATGCCAGACCTTGGGGATGCGGTACTTGCTCACACGACTCCTGCCCATAGAGAGTTCACAGCCAAGTGGGGGTGACAGGCCTTGAACACCCAACCCCAGTTCATCTTGAAGCACTGGACAAACGAGGATCAGAAACAGGGCCTTGGGGACGCCGAGGAGGGGCGGGACCATGCCAGCATCAGTGCTAGGGATGCGCTGGGTGGCAGAACGGCGCGGGGCCTCTCAGTGACTTCCATAGCTCAGCGCCTCCTTTCTCTGAGTGGCTTTTTCTGCGATTTTCCTGCAGGGCCTGTGCCAGCAGCGAGACGGAGAGCGAAGCCGGGGACATCATGGACCAGCAGTTCGAGGAGATGAACAACAAGCTCAACTCAGTCACCGACCCCACCGGCTTCCTGCGGATGGTTCGCCGCAACAACCTCTTTAACAGGTGCGCGTGGCTGCCTCCCCAGGCCGGTGCAGGGCAGGGTGGTCTGAGCACAGGTGATGAGCCTTCGGGGGCGCTCCTCCCGGCTGCTCAGGCTTGTGTCGCGCGTCTGCAGCAGCAAGCGTGATTCCACTGCCCTGTGCTCGTCAGGGCGTCTGCATCACACCAGCACCTCCAGCTCAAGTGAGAAACCGTGACAGGCTTGATGTGACAATCCGCGTTTGGCTGGGGTGGGAGGCCCAGGGGACGGTTGGCTGCTGCTTTTCATAGCCTCAGAGCTGGCTTCCCACACACCGGGCAGAAGCTAGACAGGGCAGCTCCGTGTACATCTTTGCCAGCGTCTGCAAGTAACTCGTGAGCCAGGCACCTGCGTCGACTTCCTGGCCAGATTCGGGGGGTCAGGGAGAGCGGTGACGCCAGCATTGTTGGAGGGAGGGCCTAGGAAGGTGCTCGTCCAGTCCCAGGGTCACCCGTCTGCCCTGAGACCTCAGTTCCTTACAACGTGACCAAATAGGCCTCATGGCCTTAGGACGAGTTGCGGTTGAAATGACCAAGCCAGCACACCCCTGTGTCTTTTATTTTTTATTTTTTTTTTTTTTGCGACAGAGTCTCGCTTTGTTGCCCAGGCTAGAGTGAGTGCCGTGGCGTCAGCCTAGCTCACAGCAACCTCAAACTCCTGGGCTCAAGCAATCCTCCTGCCTCAGCCTCCCAAGTAGCTGGGACTACAGGCATGCGCCACCATGCCCGGCTAATTTTTTTTTTTTTTTTTGTATATATATTAGTTGGCCAATTAATTTGTTTCTATTTATAGTAGAGACGGGGTCTTGCTCTTGCTCAGGGTGGTTTCGAACTCCTGACCTTGAGCAATCCGCCCGCCTCGGCCTCCCAGAGTGCTAGGATTACAGGCGTGAGCCACCGCGCCCGGCCACCCCTGTGTCTTTTAATCAGGAGCGATACCAGAGCTGGGTCCAGATAAACAGGGGCAGGTGGCCGGAGTTGAGGGGCACTCGTCACACTGCCGTTTGGTTGCGTGGCAACACCATGGGAGTACCTTTCGATGGACTTCTCCAGAAGCACATCCCAGACTCTCCAGGTCCCTGCCACAGCGCGAGGGCCTGCCTGTGAAGGGCAGCGGGTCGACCCTGGCACACAGGAGGGAGTGACTGTGCGCTGGGCAGGAGCAGCTCTGCTTGGCAGCCCTGCTGTGCGGGACATTGTGTGCCCTGTCTGCTCCGCTGCAGGCCCTGGTTTCCTCTCATTATTGTGCTGTCCGGGTGACAAACGTGTGTTTACTTTCCCAGAGCTGAGCTGAGGAGGAAGGGAGCCGAGGGCCGGGGGGAGGAAGTGGCAGCTTGGTCGAAAGGAGGCCAAACCTTAGAGCTGCTTCACCCCCAGTTCCTTCTTCCCTCCCACCCTCGCAGGTGCCCGTCATGGCTTTTGGTTTCATGTAGGGACATGACAAGGTCTGAGGTCTGGGGTCAGGCCTGGGCTCACATCCTTGCTTTGCCAACTTCTTGGCCAGTGAGGCAGGTGACGCTCAACCCCGCCACGTAATGTGATTGGCGGTTACACGCTAGAAGAGCTCGGGGCTGGGCCTCTGGCCTTGTTGCCTAGTAGCTGTATGACACTGGGCAGGCAGTTTCACCACTGTCAGCCTCAGTTTCCTTGTCCCTGGAATGGGGACAGACTTCCTACCCTGCAGGTCTCCTTTCATGTGGAAACTAAAGGAGCTAATGTATACATAACACACTGACCGACTTCCTCATGCATAAAAGGCACCATATACCCGATGGCATTCTACTGTTTTGAGTAAAGTGGAAAGAACAGTGCTAAACTTGAATTCTTAAGATAAAGTGGGTGGACAACCTGGAAGGGATGAGATATCTGTGATGAGCCTGTGCAGCGAGTGTTGGCTGCCTTGGATGACTGCCTCGCCTACCCCACTTCCTGTCCTACCTCATGTCCTCCACATGAGGGCGCTGCCAAAACAGACCATCTGGCATCCATGCAGACCTGGTCACAGGTGCTGCCATGGTCTGGAGCCAGTCTGCTGGGGCCTCAAGCACTACAGAAGGAAAGGGGCAAACCAGGTATATCTGGGCCCTGGCTTATCAACCCTGGGCCCAAGGTGGTGTGAATTTTGGGTGGTGGAGTTGCTCATTTTTTGTCCTTCCTATCAGCCCTGAGATAGATCCTATGAGCACAGTACTATGCATTAATTTGTTGGTTCATTTAAATAACACAGTCTGTGCTCCCAGCCAGGCTGGGGACTGGTCCAAGCCCTAGGGACCTGGCAGGGAGCAAGCAGGAGCAGCAAGGCCCACGGCCCTGGACCCCAGACCCCGCTGCCCAGCCGCTCTGTTCCCAGCTCCTGTGGCAGGGTTTGCCCAGCTCAGGACCTCAGTTGCATCTGCAGGAAAACCAAGCCGTTGGAAGGGATCTCTGCAGACCCTTCCAATCCTGCACTTCTAGAGGACACCAACCCAACGGCAGATTGGATGAGGAAAGCAGCCTGCCTTCTTTCCACCTCGGTGCTGTGAGCCCTTAAGGGCCAGGACAGTTTGCCACTCGGTGCGCTGCCTTCCTGACAAGCCAAGAAAGAGGGAGCTCTGGACTCCATCCGTAAGGGGTCAGAGCTACAGCTGAGCGAACCCCGGACGCAAAGGTCTCCTCGTTAGTTAGAACAGCGTGGGCTCTCACAAACTTCTGGAGCAGTCTCCCATCTTACAGATGAGCACACACGTGCCAGGGACGATAGAGACCTGCCCGTGAGCAGGTGCCCAAACTGAATTTCAGGACGTGCCTCCCAGCTGCCCTGCCAGTCTCTCCCCTGCCCTGCTGTCGGGTCCCAGGCCTCCATCTCTGCCCCTTCCACGACTAGGGATCTGTGCTAAGGGGTGTGCTGGCTTGTCACTAAACGGAACAGTTAAAAAGAGTTAAAAGGTAGCTTTTCCGTAGACTCCTGACAGAGACTAGCATTTGCAGAGCGCTGTCGCCTGGAGCCCCAGGGGTGAAGTGGGAGCAGCCATGTGCGTAGGGCCTTGTTTGCTGGGGCAGCACCGGCTCCGCCTCCAGGGACTCTCCAGCTCGGTGATTTCGTGGATTCCATGTCCCTTTTGTTCCTGGGCAGTTTGCAGACCGATTTGGCAATGAGGCTGCTGTAGTTAATGCAAGTCAAGTGTGACTTGGCTTTAGATTTTTCTCTCTTGCCACTCTAGGAAATGGTCTTTGTTCTGCCATTGTTTTTGAGGTCTCTGCAACCACTATTTTTCTTCTTGCTTGTGCACTTCGGCAGAAAACACATCTGCATTCTATACCCAGAGCAGGCACCACTTTTGAATGAAAAACAAGCCCCCTTCTCTTGGCTAGTAGCATTCTGACCCCAGCGTGGGCCCCAGCAGGCAGAACAGCAGCCCTAGACTCTGGAAGTTATGCTGAGGACTGGCAGGCCAGCACATGCATGTCCAGGGGTGGGGAGTAGCTGTGGGAATGTATGTATGTATTTGTGTGTTGGGGGGGGGTACATTTGCTGTGTATGTGGCCAGGGTGTGGTTGGTGTGTATGTGTGTGACTGAACCTGGGAATAGTCCACAGATCACACATTTGCTGCAAAAAAGAGGAGGAAGACCAGTGCGGGCCTTGGCAGCAGCCTGGATCCTAGGCCCCAGGGCAGTGTCTTGGCATTAAAGGTGCACCTGCCCAGGGTCATTTAGGACGAGTATCCCAGAGAAATAGCCCGACTTCTTTTGCCTGTACAACGTGCATCCTAGGTTTTAATTTTCCACGTTATGGCAACACGATTTAGAGAGGGGCTCTCCTGTTACCCAGAGAGCAGTGACCAGAGCCAAAAAGAGCACCAAGGAGTGTTAAGTCTCCCCATTCTAGAAGGAGGTGCACAGTCGGCCTGAGCCCTGCCTCAGGTCTCTGCAGCTTCCCCGGCACCCGCCAAGCCCGTCCCTGACTCTCACAGAGACTGGGCAGGGAGTCAGCAGATGAAAATGCTCTGCCCGGTCACGGGTCCCCTCAGAGAGTCACTCACAAAGAGCAGGGCCCTGCAGAAAGGGGAGAGAGGCATCTCCATGCCACAGGTCCAGCATTCCGTGACTGGGACAGGGCGAGAAGAAATCAGAGGGAGGGGGCTGGCCACAGCACGCTCTGCGTGCCCACGTGTAGTGTGGCGTGGATGTGTGCGTGTCCTGCTGGGTGGGTCAGGTGGCCTCAGCCGCTTCGCGATTCCCCACCTAGGAGGCTGTCTGCTGGGCAGGGGACCTCGGCAGCAAGTTATAGGGCATGCAGCCAGTAGCAGGGTAGCGGGGCCCTGGGGCAGCCAGCAGTGGTTGCCACATCATGGGGTACAGAGAATCCCTCTCCCCCTTCTGCCCTGAACACCAGAGGGTCTGCCCTGACACTGAGGAGTGGGAAGGGCTCCCCGAGCCTGGCCTCAGTGGAGGTGGGAGAGGATGGGGCGACCACATAGGATATTTCCTAAATGCTTGGAGAGTCAGCAGGACAAAGTGGAGAGCAGTGACTGGAGAGAACTGTCCCCGCAGTCAGCCCGGCCAGTAAGCTGGGGCCCATGCACACGCATCTCTCTCTGCGTTCCTGCCGGCTGCATCCACATGCATGTGTGACTGTGGTTTTTCATAAACGCCCTCACGGGCCCTGCTTCGGGAACGTCCTGACGCACGCTCTAGCATGCTGCGGAGGTCCACGTAGACTGGGAGGCCTGTGCACATGGGTGCTCCGTTGGTCACTGTATTCCCAGGCCTGGGCACGTTCCCATGGCGAGGCGCATAGTGCGGGGGAGAAATCTCAGGCCCTGGGGCCAGAGAGACCTTAATTGGAAACCTGGTTACACCCTTTATTAGCGGGTGACTTTTAGCCTTTTATTTTTTATCTGGAAAATGAGGGTCCTAATGGGGCTGTCAGTAGATGCAGTGAGCGTGCAGTGAGTGTGATGGTGGCTGCGTAGACCCGCTGTGTAGTAAGTAGCTTACTTCTCT